ATTTATATATGTATATATTTATATATGTATATATTTATATATGTATATATTTATATATGTATATATTTATATATGTATATATTTATATAGGGGAGGTTTTTTGTGATATGGAAAAATGTTAGTTGCTCAATTATCTCACTATTGGATGGACTTTTATCGAGCGAAATTTTGGCTGTAAAGACAATTCTGATATTGGTAACATGGTGATAAGAACAAATAGTCAGTTTGCCTGGTTTATGATGAGATAATTTCGATTTAAAAAAAAACATAAAAATTGATTTTAATGAGCGATTATATTTGAATATGCTCTCCTAATTTGAAGGAACTGGTTAAATCATGAATTGATCATGAATAATTTTTTTTCAAAATAACAATTATAATTTCATATTCATTATAAGTTGAAAATATATCATAAAGACTTTATGAATGATAAATTCGTAAAAAACAAGTTAGTTTGTTTCTGAAAATAATAATAATAAAAACCAATTTAGACCCAATAATTTTTGGCGGGATAATTGAGATGTTTAACAAAAACTGAAAGGTGTCATTATTATCTATGACCAACAAGCAACTGACCTAGTCTGGATTACAATATTCGGTTCATCAAACCGCCAATTTGATGAATCAAGCCAAATTGTAACTGACCTAGTCTGGATTACAATATTCGGTTCATCAAACCGCCAATTTGATGAATCAAGCCAAATTGTAACAAACCAGTTGTTGATTGCATGGTATTATTCATCGAACTGCCAATTTGATGAATTAAAAAAAAAAAAAAAAAAAAAAAAGGTAGTGGGGCTTCCAGGCACTTCGTGCCTTCTAGCCCTGAAGATGTTTAGTATAAATGAAGTCTTGACAAAGTCTTTACGAAGAAGTCTTAACAAAACATTTACGAAGAAGTCTTAACAAAACATTTACGAAGAAGTCTTGACAAAGTCTTTACGAAGAAGTCTTGACAAAGTCTTTACGAAGAAGTCTTGACAAAGTCTTTACGAAGAAGTCTTGACAAAGTCTTTATGAAGAAGTCTTGACAAAACATTTACGAAGAAATCTTGACAAAGTCTTTATGAAGAAGTCTTGACAAAACATTTATGAAGAAATCTCAACAAAGTCTTTATGAAGAAGTCTTGACAAAACATTTATGAAGAAATCTCAACAAAGTCTTTACGAAGAAATCTCAACAAAGTCTTTACGAAGAAGTCTTAACAAAGTCTTTACGAAGAAGTCTTAACAAAACATAGACAAGAAAGTTCATGAGTGTAAATGACCCAAAAATATATTTTAGGGTAGAAGGGTATATCTAACCTCTTTTCTAACCTCTTTTCTACCCTCTTGAATTTTCATGAAATTTACACCAAAAATATATTTTAGGGTAGAAGGGTATATCTAACCTCTTTTCTAACCTCTTTTCTACCCTCTTGAATTTTCATGAAATTTACACCAAAAATATATTTTAGGGTAGAAGGGTATATCTAACCTCTTTTCTAACCTCTTTTCTACCCTCTTGAATTTTCATGAAATTTACACCAAAAATATACTACTAGGGTCATTTACGAAGAAATCTCAACAAAGTCTTTACGAAGAAATCTCAACAAAGTCTTTACGATGAAGTCTTGACAAAGTCTTTACGAAGAAGTCTCAACAAAGTCTTTACGAAGAAGTCTTAACAAAGTCTTTACGAAGAAGTCTTAACAAAGTCTTTACGAAGAAATTCATGAAAATTCAAGAGGGTAGAAAAGAGGTTAGAAAAGAGGTTAGATATACCCTTCTACCCTAAAATATATTTTTGGGTCATTTACGAAGAAGTCTCAACAAAGTCTTTACGAAGAAGTCTCAACAAAGTCTTTACGAAGAAGTCTTGACAAAACATTTACGAAGAAGAAGAACTTGACAAAGTCTTTACGATGAAGAAGAACTTGACAAAGTCTTTACGATGAAGAACTTAACAAAACATTTACGATGAAGAACTTGACAAAACATAGACAAGAAAGTTCATGAGAAATTAGATGAAGTCTTAACAAAACATTTACGATGAGTTTAGATACGATAAGATAGAATATGAGAGAGGTCCTATAAACTGGAGAAAGTGTCATAACAAAGAAATTTTACTAGTAAGTAAATGTGGTTTGAAATAGGACTACTTGTTTTAGGTTTTTTCCATTGTGTCATTTACTTATTTGACGTGGCAGAAAGATATAGAGAATATGAAGATGAACCAATGCCTGCAAATGTTCAGCATATGTACTCGTAAGAGATATTTTTATCAATAATATTAAATGGACGCACAGAACTTAGCGAATGCACAGCAACCTGGACAACCAAACCCAGAGAATATTCCAAATGAAGTTAGAATACAAACTGCAATGGCAAACTATGGTCAAGTGCCAACAGATGTACAAATGCAAACTGCCATGTCAAATGACGCTGCGTTAGGTTTGCCACCATGGTATGCAAATATGAGATGGAAAGAGTTTTATACAAACCCCGAAGTGGGATATAAACAACTTTATGCAGATGACGCGAACACAGGAGTTGACCCAGAGTATGTTTTCTACCAGAGGAGAAATAGAATGTATGAGCTCCAGTTAAAGAATGCTATGGAACTCAACAGGAAACGTAAGAGACTAGGTGGACATTAGATTTTTACATATAGTAAAATGGGTTTCTTTGGAAGAATAGGAAACTTCTTTCGAAATGTTGGAAGAGGTATATGGAATGGAATAAAAACCGTCGGAAGAGGAATTTGGAACGGAGTCAAAAATATTGGCAAAAGAGTAGGTCAGTTCGTTGGTATTATACCTAAAGACCCTGAACCAGAAGAGCAAGCTCCTGTTATACAACAGCCTGAACCTGCACCACAGTCTAGTTGGCAACCAAATCCAACACCTCAACCGTATTAAAAAATCATATTTTTACCGTTCGATAGTAGTTGTATATGAAACTAAGTTCTAAGTAAAACGCATGGTATAATGGAATTATTCTTTTTCTTCCATCTGTAGTAAACCATACTTGAAAGTCTGAAATACTTCCACTTGGTGGTTCGTATAGCTTTGTAGGTTTTTCGTAAAAGTCATTTGCCAAGCATAAAAAAGAGTTTTGTGCACCAGAAAATGAAGCATGAACTATAATAGCATCTGAGTCGAAAACATTTTCATATGTTCCATTAGGGTTTTCGACTTCATAAAAGTTCGGGTGTACTGGATATTCTGCAGGCTGATTTAACATCCTCAAAAATCTATACCATGCCAAGTTGTTATATTTTGTAGAAATATAAACGTCTTCTCCAAGGTCTTCTATTCTATTGAATTTAACAGTTGCATTTTTCCTGTCATATAAAATATCGAGATGGTACTCTCCTTCGTCAATGTTAAACTGGTTTGCATATTCGAGATAGATATCGTTTATTTTTTCTTGAAAAGCTTGAAGAGTTGTTTCTAAGTTTACAAGCAAATTCACTTGTAAAAGTTTTCCCTGTTCAAATTTCTCATACGTACGTTTTTCTTTGTTATAGTATCGAACTTCAAAAGCGACCGTAAATGGGAAACCATGTATGGCTTCTGAAATGAATTTCATTCTACGAAAGCCAATAGCTTTTGTGACGGATGGGTCTCTTAACCATCTTAACGGGTAGTCAAAACGATAGCCTTCATGCTTTACGGTCTCTGTCTCAAACTTTTGACCGACATTCGTAAAAAGTTCATCTAATGGTTTAGTTGTAGCAACTCTTGAATTTTCTTTTTCTATTGAAAGCATATTTTATCTAGAATAAAAATGTCGAAAGAAACAGCGTCTATGAGAGAAATACAACACAACCGACAACTCATTGTACAAGCTCTAAATAAGAACACAACAAACTTTTCAAACTATTCTAAGATATCTGAGTCATTGAAAGAAGGAAACTTAAAACTGACGATAAACCCATTGACAGACGAGTTTCTGTTTCAAGACAGTAAGAACCATACTGTTTGTATAAATCCAACAAAAAGAACTTTAAACGAGAAACCTATAGATGAACTTCTTTTGAAAGCAGATGTTGAAAAGAAAGCTGACAAAGAGTATGTAGATGCAACAAGAGACTATATTCTCGCATGGACAGATAGAACATACCCACAAAAACACCATACACATAACATCTATGACGTAGATGAACTACCAGCAATGTTAGATGACAAAGCAGATAAATATGTTGACAATAAAATGTCAAGTGAAGTGACAAGAGCTGACAAAGAATATTCTAAAAAGACTCATACACATACCATTGCAAATATTACAAACTTACAAGAAACCTTAAACAGGAAAAGTGACGTTGGACATACACACGATTTCTTCGCAACTGTTGGTATAGAAAATATTGAAGGAACGGTTGAAGAAACTGGTGGGGATGTATTAAATTGGAAACCTCCTAACTTTCCACAAGGTTTAACATCGGAGGATGACATAACGACGATGAAATACACTAGATGTAGAAATGTCTATGTCATGGAGGATGAAAAAAAAGTTAAATTCACTGCTCAAGATTTATATGATAAAAAAGCTGACAAAACAGAGCTTCAAACGTTAAAGACAGAAATACTTCAAACACTATATCCTATAGGTTCTATTTACACGTCAATGAACTCTACCAGACCAGAAGTAGTACTTGGTTTTGGAACTTGGACTCAAATAGTCGACAGGTTTTTGTATTGTGCAAACTCTTCAAAGGAAACAGGCGGAAGTAAAACGATTTCAGGTGAAAACTTACCTGCACACAGTCACTACATAGATTTAAGTACATCTCAAGCAGGTTGGCATAAGCATAAATTTTGGGATTGGCACGCCTTGAAAAAAGGTAAAGGATATGATGTTAAAGACAACGTTCAGTTTGCTATAAATTGTTTCTGGGGTAGCACACAGGGAGAAGGAAACCATACACATCGCGTTTCAGGGTATACGCAAACAACAGGACAAAGTAAAGACTACATGCCACCTTACATGACAGTTTACGCATGGTATAGAAATGCTTAGTCGTCATTTTCAACTTCTTTAGCATATTCGTCAGGAGTTGTCTTATATTTGTTAGGAACTGTCTTTGAAAGTATACCACCTTGAACCTTAACAAGTTTGAAACGAGGTCTGACAATAGTAGTTTTATCTTCTGCTTGCAGTCTGTACATTTTGCCATGTTTGCCTAAAACTTCATAATATTCTCTTGTATACTTTCTTCTATTTTTACGAACACGAATGTGAGTACCTGTCGGGTTCCCATTGTTGTCATAGTCAATAGTATTTTCATATGGGTCGCGTTTAGGTATTTCTATTTTTACTTTGTCACCTTTCTTAAGTTTGAAGCCTGGCATTCTTTCTTGTTTGTCTCTTTTGACTAAACTATTAAATATATAGTCTTTCTCTAAGTCGGGGTTGTTTTTCATTTCTTCGGGGGAGTGGTTTCCCAAACCTTTTTGTTTACGGCTATTGTAAATATTTAAAACTTGTCTCATCTTTGCCATGGAGAAATGTCTATACTTGTCGTCATATGACATTTCATCTACCTCACCACCTTGTGGTTGGTTTAAGTCTCTTAAGATTTTTATACAACTGTCAATGACACCAAGAGCAGAATGGTTTTGGTCGACAATGAAATATTGGTTTACATTTTTTGAACGCAGATAGTTTTTAATATCGTCTGATTTGAAAGAACTTTCACAGTCAGATGTCAGTTTTGTTGGATGGTATTTGTCAACGAATATTGTCAAAGCAGTTTTCACATCTAAAATATTTTTGGACCATAATGGTATGGCTTCACAGTATCTTGTGTTTTGACCGACAAATATTAGCCAGTATGGAGGTCCATCTTCTCTATACCTCGGAATGTTTTCCAAGATATCCATAAACCAAGCATTTGGTGTTGAACTAAAGATTTTTATCATGAGTGCTTTTTTTGTTGCCTTAGAAACATAGGGGTCCTTGTTTGGATTCGTCATTTTTTAACCCATAAGAAATGGGTTTATTTGGCGCAATAGCAGGAGTCGCATCTAGATTTTTGCCCGCAGTGGGAACACTAGCCAGAGGTGCATTTGGAATTGGAAGGAAGATTTTGAGTACATTAGGTATACTGAAAGAGAAAGCACAACCTATTATACAAACTGTACAGAAAGGTTGGGAGGTAGCACGAGATGCAACAAATCTTATTCCAAATCCTGAAACAAGAGGAAAAGTTCAAGGATGGATGGACAATGTAGGAAGACAAGCAGGAAACTATTATAACAAAGCAAATGACTACTATAACCAAGCAGGACACTATATGGACCAAGGTGAAAGATTCTTTAACAGAGGATATAACCATGCACAACAATGGGTAAACAATAACCAACCTCAACCGCCTCAAACTTGGGGAATGTAAAGTTTTTTACTGAGATGAAATGAACAATACAGCATTGAGACAAATGGGTTCAAGATGGATTTGTCGACTTCCAGCAGTTACACAACGTGTTTGTCAAGTTCTTCCTATACCTCAGGAAGTTTTAGACCGACTTAAAAACCTAAACAACCAGTTGAAACAAACCAAACTAAATTTTTTACTGAGATGAAATGACCGAAGAAGTTGAAACGGTAGATTTGACACCACAAACAAAAAGTTCAGAACCATTGTCAAAACCTGTCAAAGAACTTACAGATGAAGAGAAAAATTCAATAATAGAAAGTGCCAGGTCTGGAAATGCAAACCCTAACTATAAAGTCACTTTTCATAGAAATGGAACGGCAAGTATCTCAAAAAAGAAACAGACTCTCACAAATAAAATATTGAAGTCGGAAGGAATTTTCGAGACAACAGATGGGAAGGTATTCTTCACTGACCAACAGTTCATTATAGAACATCTCATTGACTTAGAGTCGAAATATTCTAAACTTTACAACAAACACAAAAAGTTGAAAGGAAAACAAAAACAAATGGCATATGATATTTATGAAGATGTTGACGACACAACCATACCTGCAAGTGAAGTAAAGTCAGAGGAACCGAAAAGTGACGAAAAACCGATAGAAGAAGGGGAGCCAAAAACTGAAGAAAAACCAAAACCAAAGTTTAGTTTCAATACTAAACCAAGTCAACCTTCATTAGCTGGTATGGGTTGGCGTCAAAGACTTATGGTAGCAGGAGGTTATGTAAAGTAAAAGGAAAACAGTATATTTTTATTTTTATAGAAATGTACGCTGAGTTTTGTTGGAGAAGACCGTTGGGAAACTTGTTTGTTAGATGAAGAAGAACTTGACAAAACATTGACGACTTCATCGTCAATGAGCGTAAATCAGACAAAAATATATTTTAGGGTAGATGGTTAGATCTAACCTCTTTTCTAACCTCATTTCTACCCCATATGTCCTTACTGAACTTTCTTGACAAAACATAGACAAGAAAGTTCATGAGAAAGTCTTTACGATGAAGAACTTTACAAAACATAGACAAGAAAGTTCATGAAAATTCACGAGGGTAGAAATGAGGTTAGAAAAGAGGTTAGATCTAACCATCTACCCTAAAATATATTTTTGGGTCATTTACACTCATTGACAAGAAAGTTCATGAGAAATTAGATGAAGAAGAACTTGACAAAACATAGACAAGAAAGTTCATGAGAAATTAGATGAAGAAGAACTTGACAAAACATATACGATGAAAGTTCATGAGAAATTAGATGAGAAATATGAAATGGCATACCATTTAAAACAAAACATTTTTTCAAAAAATATTTTTTTTATTTTATTTGAAATGTACGCTGGGTTTGTTGGAACAGACCGTTGGGAAACTTGTTTGTTAGATGAGAAATATGAAATTCACTGTTGTGAGTCATTTGAAGTCAGAAACAAAAAGACAAAAAGAGTTTTAAGCGAATGGGAGCAAAATGACGGATATGCTAGGATGAGGATTGGTGGAAAACACTATTTTAAACATGTTGTCATTGCAACTCATTTTATACCGAATCCTAACAATCTACCTTTTGTAGACCACATAAACCATATAAGAAACGACAATAGACTTGAAAACTTACGCTGGGTCACTTGTTCTGAAAACAGTAAGAACATAGGCAAATTTAGAGATATTGTATTCGAATTTGTCGACGAACTAGAAGATGAAGCAATTGAAATTACAGACTATGGTAAGCATACGTTTGAGTTTTACTACTATAGCGAAGAACAGGACTCTTTCTACCTTTATACCGGCGTAAACTATAGAAAATTACAAGTATGTTTTACTAAGGCGGGCTATGCTTATGTAAACACTAGAGATACAGATGGAAAACACGTTCATATATTTCTCAACAAATTCAAGAAGCTATATGGCATACCATTTTAAAACATTTTTTAAAACAGTATATTTTTACATATATTAAATGTTTCAGGTTGAAAAACAAAGAACAAAAGTAGCAGATACAAAACCGTTAGACTATATCTTTACAAATGCCGGTAGGACTATTTCAGATGAAGAAATTTCATCTGGATCTTACAGGTTTGACTATCCAATTCGTTGGCTTCAAAGTCCTTCAGATGCAAAGGCAATAGGATTTAGAAGAGTTTTGTTTTCAAATAGAACTAACGCTTTTATGTTTGCAGTATATTTTCATGGTCAGTATAGAGGTTCTGATGGTCTAATAGACAAATTTGATGAAATGAGAATCTTTACAATTCGTTCAGACGAAAGTCTTGAAAAAACTCTAAATGACTTTCAAACTCAAATAAACAAATACTACTGGGAATTTCAAGAAAAATACGATTCTTTACTAAATGAACATACTATCTGAAACTAGAATATGACAAGATGAACTCCACCGTTTCATTTCAAAAGATTGAAATTAACCCTCCAAGAGATACAGAGTTTTATTTTGGGAAGTAGACAAACGTTCTTGGGCACAATTTCTTCGGTTACTAAACCAGAACGAACCATTACCACCTGACGGTCCGTTTAAATTTATACGCCCACCAACAGATTTGACAGTTTATAGAAACGTGTTCGACCCTCAAAATGTCATGTGTCATGCAAGTTTCAGTTCAAGCAAACAACAGTTTTCTTTGTATTGGTAAGGACTTTTATGACTTTGCTTCTAAATTCTACGAACCACCTAGTAACAGTTTCTCTGACTTTCAAGTTTGGTTCACAACAAACGGTGTGCAACATATTATTCCATTGTACTATGACTTTTATCTCGAATTGTCTTTCATATACAACTACGGAAAAGTGCTGAAAAAGTATTGAAAAATATATTTTAGGGTAGAAGGGTATATCTACCCCGTTTTCTACCCTCTTTTCTACCCTCGTAGAAAACACCACAAAACTCTTGAATTTTGTTGCTGAATTCAATAAAAATATATTTTAGGGTAGAAGGGTATATCTACCCCGTTTTCTACCCTCTTTTCTACCCTCGTAGAAAACACACAAAACTCTTGAATTTTGTTGCTGAATTCAATAAAAATATATTTTAGGGTAGAAGGGTATATCTACCCCGTTTTCTACCCTCTTTTCTACCATCGTAGAAAACACACAAAACTCTTGAATTTTGTTTGCTGAATTCAATAAAAAAAAATATTTTTTATATTTTATTGTAAGAACATGTTAGCAACACAGCACCAAACTCGTTAGTCATGAACCCAACTTCAATGTTAGTAGAGATGAAAAGCTTCATCCTTCTTCATATACTTTCGAAACAGAAATCCAGAAGATAAAGCAGGAACTTCTCCAAGGAGATTTAGACTGTAGTGCAAAAGATGAAACAAATGAACAGTATCTTTATGAAATGCAAGATATTATAGACCATTTGCCTAAACTACCTGAAATACAACAACAAAAACTCACTATTCCAGAATTCGATGAAATTGAAGTCAGACTGACTGACTCAGTAGAAATAAAGAAGTTCATACGAAAGGTAAACTATGAGTTTCTTGGATTTCATTGCAACCACAAAGTCATTGACATATATAAATCTGAAGAATTTAAGACCTACGACAACTTTGTTTCGTTAGTTGCTGAGTGTGTCTTGCAGATAAGAGATAAAGATAGAAGAGGTAAGGTATGGAACCAACAGATAAAACCAGCAGCCTTTGAGTTAAAGAAGACCATCTACGCCTTACTTGTTTTAGCAGGACAAATTTCAGAATATAACGCAAAAATGAACTCACAATGTTCAAAATGTAAAGCAGCAACAAGGAAATATAACTACTCCGTCAAAGAGATAGAAAGAATGAGAAAAGACCATACTGACTTAAAGAAAGAAGTAGAGAAACCAGCAGAAGATAAAATGGACATGTTGACATTTCTGAACAAAAACTATCCAACTGCTAACGATTTCCTTCTTTCAGATGTCAAGAAGAAATATAAAGAAACCTTCGGCATAGTTAAAATTTTTGATATCCTTCGTGAAGAAATAGAAGCTACAAAACTGTTTAAAGTCATGAACCATCACAACATATACCATGTAAAACGCTTATAAAATAACTGGGGTAGAAAAGAGGGTAGAAAACGGGGTAGATATACCCTTCTACCCTAAAATATATTTTTATTGAATTCTGAGTAAAATTCTGAGTAAAATATATTTTAGGGCTTGTGTCAAACCGTTGAGTTTTCACAAAATTTAAAAAATAACGTTTACCATGTGAAACGTTTATAAAATAACTGGGGTAGAAAAGAGGGTAGAAAACGGGGTAGATATACCATTCTACCCTAAAATATATTTTTGCTGAAAAAAATGACCAAATTTCATGAATTTCCTTAAGATAGAAAAAATAAAATAAAGTTAGTTTTATTTTTTTTTATTTTTTTATTTTGTATGTAAAGACAGGAAATGTTAAACATTGAGTTTGAAACAGTTAAAAAGATAGACAATGACACCAAAATGGTTAGAATCGGTGATTTAAACGTAAGATACTCAAAGAAATACAACAAATATTCTTTGTCAGACATTATATCTCCATCTGGAAAGAAAACAAACGACTGGGTTAGAATTGCTTCTACTCAGAAAATTTTGACAAGAAATCCTGAGCTTATGATATCGGTAAGATTCTATGGAACTACAGCATATCTTATAGACAAAAGTCTTATATCAGTAGTTTTGTTCTGGATTGACCCAGTTGTTGGATATAATTTCATAACATATGGTTCATTCGATACGGAACGTTGCAGTGAAGGCTTACTTTACATCGTTCAGAAACCGAAGGACTTCAACACAAAGAGATATAAGATAGGAAGAACATATAATATAAGTAGTAGATATGACTCTACAGTCAATAGAGTTAAGGTTGTGTTTGTTAACGATATGAGAGCTGCTGAAACAGAACTACTTGAAAAGTTTGAGAAAATGTATGGTGCTCCCACGAAAGGTAAAGAAACTTTCGAAGTAGATGAGATAGATAGTGCTATAAAATTATTTGACGAAGTTGCTGAAAAATACATGTAAAGCGTTTATTTTTGGTCTTTTGTGAAAGTCAGAAAATAAAGTTAGTTTTTTATAAAATATTTTTTTTATCCGGAATATAAAGACAGATATGTCAACAACAGAGAACACAACAACAGTTATAGTCCATGAAGCCATAAATGAAGAATACGAGTACATACAGTTTAACAAACAGTTACGTCTCATTCGTTCGGTCAAAGATGACATGTACCAAATGCAAAGTATTTTGAATGCTCTTCGTTCTACAAAGCAAGCATACCATTGGTTTGAAAACCAACAGACAAAAGAACTTTTAGAAGAATTTCCTCATATGTTTGCTACCCTCGGAAAACCGAGGGTAGAGATTCCGTACGAAAATCGCAAGAATTTGGCTCCTGGTTTGAGAGGTTGGTATGTACATAGACTTCTTGTAAATGCTGTTGCAATGTGGGCGTCACCTCGCTATGCTTGTTATATTTTCATGATGTTAGATGAAATTCATAGACAAGAACGTGAAGAGATGGAAAAGAAACTTCAAGCAAAAGATGAAGTCATTGAAGCAAAAGACAAAAACATACAGAAAAGAATACCACGTTCGGTACCAAAAGGAAAGGAAAAGAACTATAAGTATATGATTTACACTGAAGAGATGGAAAATGAAGAAGACAGAGATATGGTTATGTTGCATTTAGTCAGAAGAAACAACAAAAGCTTTTACGACCTTGCTAAGATTTACAAATCTGACAGAAATTGGTTCTATCGCGAAAACTTACCGATTTCAATGACCCCAAATGAAGATGTGAAACAAATAGTTCAAGATACGTTACCTCAAACACACTATGATATTAAAGGTTGTACAATTCTTACATTCAAAGAAGATTTGCCGCTACTGAAGGAAAAGATAACAGAGTATTTCGATAACTTCAAAGAGGAAGAGTAAATGAACCATTTATTTTTCAAGCTTGACACCAAAGATGGCTCAGGTAGCTCTAGATGGTAAATTGTCTTGTCCGAGTCCTTCTGGCATTCCGAGTCCTTCCATCCGACAGGAAAAAAATTTCCCGACAACTGGAAAAAAATTTCCCGACAACTGGAAAAAAATTTCCCGACAACTGGAAAAAAATTTCCTTCCAACTGGAAAAAATTTTCCTTCCAACTGGAAAAAATTTTCCTTCCAACTGGAAAAAATTTTCCTTCCAACTGGAAAAAATTTTCCTTCCAACTGGAAAAAATTTTCCTTCCGACAGGAAAAATTTTTCCTGTTGTTCGTCCGTAAACCATTCAAATTTTCGAAAATTGAGAACTTTTTGGCCGACCTTCAGGAAAAATTTTTCCGGACAACTGGAAAAATTTTTCTTTCCGACAGGAAAAGTTTTTCTTTCCGACAGGAAAAGTCCTTCCTTCCGACAGGACACAAACGAATGTCCGACGTACCACCAAACGAGTCCATTCCAAAGCCAGAAGAACCGACAGCCCCAGCACCACAACAGACTAAGACTCAAACACTTACATTTTCAAGCTTGACTTTTTACAATTTGAACTTTGTTCGCGTAGATGTGAATTCTGAAAGAAGTATGAGGGTCTTGTATGACTTTGTACTTCTCCCATAGTTCATGTCTGTCAAACTTACCTGCCATGGACTCTTTCATAAGTTCCATGAAATCGTCTTCGGACAATCCGGGGAAAAGTATGATATCAGTAAGTATTCTCTTTACATCCTTACTTAAACTCTTTGCTGTCTGTACACAAATGACAACAGAGATGTTAAAGTGTCTGAGCTTCTTAAGAATTCGACACATATCTTGTTCTCTGTTCTTTAACAAAGGATGAGAAGCAAAGTCATCTAAGATAAGAAGACATCTGTGAGGGTATGTCTTCCAATCGTAAGATTGCAATTTCTTCGAAATGTACTCTATCTCTTTCTGTTTGTTTCGGAAGTGTTTCTTCTCTAATATTCTCTGCATTTCCTCATTTGGGTCTTTAAACCTCGAATTGACATACTCATTTATAGCATTGTACTTCAAAACTCTTCTTTGGTACTTCTTTATCCAATCTAACAACTCAGTATCCTTTATACATACTAACTTAGACTTCTTTATAATATCTTTGAACGAATTTACGGTTTGGTCAAATTGACCAGAAGTACTACAAATGACTACTAACTCATAGAATGGGTTCTTCTCATCTAGTTCTTGTTGTTGTGCAGCCATTTTAAGATAAGTGAAAGTCTTACCCGACCCAGGCGGTGCAATTAGACCTGTTATACCATTCTGAGCAAATAAGAACTTGTCATGTATGGGTTTTATCTGAGCATTTTCTAACTTCCTCTTGTTCTTGTTTAAAACATTCTCAAATTTCTTGTCAATGTCAGCAAACTTTTTTTCTAACATATTTTTAGAAAAATTAAAATTTTTATCTTTTTGAAAATGTCTAGCGATTTCGCTATCTATATTCGAGACAAGCTTTTCGACAGCAAAACATCTGTCGACCATAAAATCTTACATAGTGTAAACAAGAAAGGTGAATTTGTTCTAAAGTTCTGTTTCTGGGAATATGACAAGAACCATAAAACATTACAAAGAGCAGTCTTAAAATTTGTCAATGACAGACTTGTTGACAGAGATGACGCCGATTGGAAAGATGAAGTCCAACAAAATTTCTTAGAATGCAAAGAAGACACATGCGCCGTTCTTGAAGATGAAATAGAAAACAGAATAGATGAGCTATTAAAGGACAAAGAACTTTTACATAAATATGGTTTGCGCCAAATTTGACATAACTCCACCAGAGAAGAAGAAGAAGAGAGAAAAGAAAGAAAAGAAAAGTAGAAGAAAAGAAAGTAGAAGAAGAGAAGAAAGAACCAGAGCCAGTTCCAGAGAAAAAGAAATTTGACATGTAAAAATAAAATTTTATTTTTAGAACATTTCTGGGTCAATGTCAATGTTCTCTTCCTCTTTAGGGGCAAACACTGGCTTAGACTCTAAAATCTTTTTACCCAATTTACCTTGAACTTCAACTATCTTAGACTCATAATATTCATAGTCGTCTGCTTTCTTTGGTTCATAAGGTATAACAAGTTTGTATGCTTTACCTTCTTCGAGTTTTGAGAACTTTCTGTCAAAATTTTCTTTGACTGTCAACATACCGTCAATGTATAAGTCTTCAAAAGTTGCACCATTTTTAGTCACAATAGCAAACTTAACGGGTTCGATGTTCCAAACTTTGTCATATGTAGACTTTTCAAAATGGTAGAAGTAAACATTCAAATAAGCGAATGGGTCTAGTTCTTCTTTGACTTCTGTCATGTACTTGTTTACTGAGATGAATTTTGCCATCTTTTCTATCGGATAAAAAATATTTTTTTTAAAATTTACTCATAAAAATTTTTCTTTGTATATACGCCGTTCTGAACATCTAAAAGATTTTTGACATTTGCCAAGAATGTTCGTTTAGACGCTGTCATATAACCATACTCTTGACAATATTGTTTATATTCATCGTACAATGACCTTTCATCTAAACACTCAAAGTTAGTCTCATCTATGAACAGTTCATATACACTCTTGTTTGCTTCTAACAATGTTTGTCTTTCTTCGGTATGTGGAATTTGTCTTGGATTGAACTTTGAAATATCTAATGTCATAAAATATGAGAACAAGTGGTTGTAAAAGTCAGATGTCAAAGTTTCTGCTAAGTCGTCAAAATATTCTGTATCTTGCATATGAGAATCTGACGTTCTGACAACTACATATCTTCTGTCAGAACTTTCTAACTTCATCGGAACAGCATTGTTTGAAACCATAATGAAGTTTGCAACATTTTCACAAACTCTTTGGTCTTTATATTTTCTTTCAACAACTCCAACTTTGTCTGTTATAAGACTCTTCAAAGCATCTGAGTTCAAAACTTTTGTTGTATCTATACTTTGAAGTTCATTGCAAACTATAAGTTTCATATTCTCAATTGAAGAGTTAAATTTACCGCAGATGTTTTCTAAGTTTGTCATATTCGGGTTCGAATAGCCCTCTAACAGTTTGCATAAGATATCTGTAAAGAAAGTGTTCTTACCTGTTCCTTGTTTTCCAATTACAATGAGAGCAGTTTCATTTTTAGCACTTGGATGTTGTAAGATGTTTGCAAACCAACATAAGATATACTCATAGACTCTTTCGTTTCCATTGCATATAATTTCTTTGACATGGTCTAACCAAGCTCTATAACATTTTCTTTCCATTCTACTTGTTCGTATTTATATCCAGTGAAGATAGAATAGAAGTTTGGAGATGGTGTATAAAACTTTATACCACGAACTGAAAAATCTTCTAACTTTGACAATAAGATATCCCAAGCATCTAACATCTTCATTCCAACTTGTACAACTTTTATTTTCTTAAGTTTCTGTCTACATTCTTGTTCAGACACTATTGTTGCTCTTGGTTTGTTAAAGACAACATCCCATTCTTTCATGACATAACATTCTGGGGCAGAGTCAACATAAATGACTAAACGTTTCAAATTCTCGACTGCTTTGTTATAGTCTCGAAATGGACACATATTTCTGAATGCTTGGAAGTCATAAAAATCTGAAACATCTATTCTGTACATTTTTATAAAAATAAAAAAAAATATTTTTTTTATTCTTGACTTTGTTGTTGCATTTGTTGCATTTGTTGTTCTTGAGCTATTTGTTGTTGAAGTTGTTCTTGTAGTACAATACTTTCACCAGTTGCATCTTCCAATTCGAAACTTTCTGCCGTCATTGACAAATACATAGGACATAAAAGTTTTACAGGAACAAAGTTTGCGTCAACTAAGGTTAAGTTTATGTTTGCTAAAGTGTTTGAGTTTACTAAAGCTGAAAACTCTGCATTCGAATGAACAATAGGCAAACCAGCAGAGAAAGTGTTGTTTATACGCATGAGTATCTTTTGGTCATAGTAGTTTCTGTCGACATTCGAATAGCACTTTGAACCTAAGTTTGAAACAATATATAAAATAGGTGTACTTAAAGTCAATGGAACAGACAAACCTTGTATGACACCTTTTCCTGTTATAGGAAACTGTTGGTAGTAAAAACCAGATATAAGTTTTGTATTATAGCTCATATCGTTTATAGTAAACTCAGTCGGACATCCAAACATAATGAAACCTGCTCTAGTTGCAGCACATGTTACATCCGTCCTTAAAGTATTAATAAGTCAACAAAACCTGTTGGTGGTATATCTGAGTAAGTATCTTCAAAGAAGTATTTTTACCATTCACAACAACAAAGTCTTCTGGTGTCAAAAGAGCAAAACAGGCTTTAGTCGTCATCGTGTTTAAGGTCAGTTTACAATATCGTCCTTGAGGACTTTGTAAGTTTGTTGTTATAGAATTATATGACTCAGGGTTTTTAGTCGTAATAGTATAAACCACTATGTCTTCTGCCATTTACTTAGCAAACAAACTTTAATGAAATGTTGTGGTCGTCAAATATTTTTATGACGTCTGGGAAACTATATTTTAAGTTCAACGTTTCACCTCCTTTCATAACGTATATCTTGTCAATGACATTATATGAAACACCACAGCAAGCAATGTCGGGTTCTATTTCTTTGATGTTTATATCGTCTGCCTCTGTCAAAAGTTTCAATAGTTCTTTCAAAATTTCATGAGGTGCGATGACATATGAGTTCACTTTTACAGGGTTGTGTTCGACCAAGTTTAACATTATACCCAAAGCTTGACAAATCTTCTCCTGAGTTTTAAGTTTGTCTTTAAGTTGTTGGTAGTCGTTTCGAATATCTGCAACAGAACTTAAGTCTCTGCTAACTTCAGGATATGTTGGTTCTTTTACAGGAACAATTGTTATACCATCTTCGTCCTCGTATGGTTTCCCCACTTCAACATCTCTTTCTTTGACATTGACAACAACACTTTGACTGTTTGTTTGAGTTGGTGAATTTAACTTCACATCTGCCACCGCCATTAAACCTTTTGAAACACTTACGCTTCTATTTTTCGGAAATGACATTTTACTTAGAATAAAAAGATGGACGTATTTGAGTATCTCTTCGAATTGAAGCAAAACAAAGTTTACACACACAAACAATACAAGTTCATTGACAGAGTAGTTCTTTACACAAACAATGGTAAATGTTATAGAATAGCAGTCTTTGCTGAACCAAAATATTTTCATAAAGCAAAGAAAGTTGGTATAACTGAAATGGTGAAAGTTCTTGAAGCAGACAAAAATATAACAACAAAACTTACAGATATTTCTAAAGGTAAGTTTATAATACAATTTTATGTCAAAACTGGCGTACTGTCAATATTTGACGGAGAGAAGTCAGTTCAAGAACAACTTACTGACCTGCTGCCAAAATCTGCTCGATGGAAGCTGTCGTTATGCCAATCTGAGGAGCCCCAGCAGGTTTCATTCGAACGAATCTTCAAAAGAGCATCTTCCGTGAAAAGTGCTATTGGTTTTGTAAACTTCTTTGCTTTCAATTCATTTGGACCGTCTCTGTCACCAGTATATTGTATTTGAACTGTACCAACAGTTGAAATACCACCCATAAAGTCTTCTGAGTCAGCAAATGGAATGCCAAGCCAAAAGTTTGAACGGTCTCCATTTGTATATTGAGTTTTTTGACCTCCTGTATGAGTCCATACTTTCACATATGGCATAATAGAACTTTGCATTTCAGGGTTTAGGTTGTTGTGAAGTTGTTGTTAAAAGTTCATAGCATCTAATGTCAAGTTGTATGACCTCATATCCTCAACTGTAGAATATTCTTCTCTTGGATAGTATTTGCCATCTATGTTTATATGGTATTTAATACCAGGTTGTAGAAGCAAGAATAGTCATTTATAGTTCGTCTGAACAGTACAAACATAGTATCTGCATGTTTCATTGCAGTTGTTAAAGCAATATCTGTTCTTGCACCTGGGTCAGCACTTTGGTTTCCAACTTCACCTGCAAAGTCTTTGACAGATATTTGGGTGTATAGGGAACATAAGTGGAACTGCAATATATTTGGCAGCTAAAGCATTTGAAATATCTGGGTCCAACATATAGACTGCAAGTCTGCTTTCTATTCTCTTGCATTCAAACTTTTCGCATGTGAACTTAACTGGGGTCCCAAGCATCTCCAGCAGCATTGAAATAATAGTTTACTTCAGTGTTGAGGTTTGAGAAACCAAAGTCTAAGTCAACTTTGTTTTTGCAAAAGTCGGCGAATGACATTTTATTTGTTCCCACTATTCTGTAAGAGTGAATGGGTCTTGTGTTGGTGCAATGACTAAGTTATTTTTGCTTGGAGTAAGTTCGATAGAAATTTTTCCTGCGCCAGTTTGGCAAGTATCTTAAAAAACCTGAAGATGAGGAAAGATGACAAAGGAACTCTAAGTTTCAGTTTTACTTTGGTTACTGCTGCTGCAGTTTGTCCAGAAAGGTCAACATAAACTCCTGGAACGTTAGGGTCAAGTCTTCTTATTTTCTCAATAGTTGCATACTGGTCTGTTTGTTCTCTAGCTTGTGGTTGTACTGAGTTTCTCAAAGCGAACCATTCATAGTTTGCCCATGTTACTGTTTGAACTAAGTCAGAGTTAGAATATATCTTATATCCCATGAAAACTTCTGGAGCATATTGGTATCCGACATAGAAAATTCCATTGCAACCTTTCTTGTCAGACAACTTGGCAGAAGGTTTTATTTCAATGTCTTGTTCCACGTATAAGAAAGAGTTGTCAATAGAAATTATATGAAACCTGTCGCAAGCAATATCTACTGTTGTTGAAGAACCTTCTCCAAACTCACCTACGTTTCCATATGAAACAGCAGTTGTATATTCGTAAGTTCCAGGAACTATTTCTGACCTTCTAATGGCATTGTCGCATTCGTTATACCATTCGGAAACATTTCCATTCATAGCATCCAAAACTGTTGGCGTTATATTCTGAGCGGCGTACATTTCATATGAGTAAAAATATAGAATAGTTGGATTTATATGTCATAATAGAACCCACGTGGACCAAGCTTTACTTTCTTCCTGACTGAGTTTTTAACTCTTCTTTTTCCTTCATTGCCACTACTTTCACTAGATGAAGTTACTTCTTCACTACTTTCACTTTGTTCTACTCTTCTTCTTTGGTGTCGCTTTGGTAACTTGCCCTCTGCTTCAAGTTGTTGCATCTTTGCATTATGTTCATCTAGTATGTTGCAAATTTTCCATGCCCTTTTTGCCTTTGGGCTCTGGTCGCCCATCTCAGGTAACCTATATCCTAGAAAGAGTTTGTCATAGTTTGTATTTGAGTCGTCGCTTATTGTTTGCATGACTCTGTCCTGAGTTTCCGGTTCAAGCTCTTCAAACAGTGCCTGTCCATATGGAATATGCTCGTTTCCAAATATATGTTTTTGTAGCCATTCTGGTTTTCTTTCCATGTTACCAACAATATCCTTTGTGAATGGGAAAGCTTTTACCCAATCTTTCAGTCTTGCGTCGTTTATTTCTGTAGTTGGTTTTATTTTGTCAAGGAACATGTTTTTCAATACTAACATTTCATTTGGTACTGTCCATTTGAGTTTTCTTAAATATTCATCCCTTCTCGGTTCATTGTCTGCAAAGTAAGTTTTTATGACATTTTGTAAACTTTCATTTGCAAGGTCATGTACAATAGGTTCTCTTCCTTCTGTCTCCCTAACTTTCTTTCTAAACTCTTCACCAAATATACCATCTTTATGGTTCTGTGTAGTTCTTTGAGATAAATGTTTTAGAACGTCAGGTGTTATATTTCCATCAGCCATGTTCATTTCATACTGGTCCAAAATATCTGCATGTTTCATATCTTTCAATGGCATTAAAGCCGCGCTTAAAATACCAGCTATATCTGGTTCACCATTGACTTCCATTGCGTCTACAACTTCTTGGAATTGTGGTTGTAAGTTTATGAACCACCTATCCGGGTTAGCTTTATGACCCCATCTCATTGTAGTTCCATCGTCTGCAGAAACAAAAGTAGGTTTGTTTCCATCTTGGTTAGGTTCTGAATGAACTTTAAACAATGTTTCATTTCTATATGTTTTCTTGAAATTTAACCTTTTATTTTCACCGAGTTCATCCGAAGATTGAACGTTAAATGCTCGTAAGTAAAAAGGGTTGTTGTATTTGTGTACATTTTCTTTCAGTACTTTCATTCTATGCTGAATATTTTCATCTGGTGTTGGAGTCTTTTGTATGTCGGCAAACATTTTTCGATATTCTTCTACTATGTCAGCCGAATCTTTCTTAGACTCTTGGAAAGATTCCATATTCACCTCATGCTCTTGTTGAGGGTCAAGATTTTTCGGCTGTTCCAAATCTTCATCTAGTTCTGTGAAGTTAGTTTCCAAAGGAAGGACTTGTTCGTTTCCTTCAGGCTCTTCTAGCTGTTGTTGCTGAACTATTTCTTCCATGTCTGGTTGTATCTGAACTTCTTCCTGTGGAGTTTCTTGTACCTCATCTGCTGGCATTTCATATATTCCGAGACCGTTTTCAACAATTTCCCTATCTACGTCATCCGCATTCATAAGCTTTTGTTCTTTCGTTCCGTCTCTATTTTTTTACGCGTTTCATGACGAAAGTTGAATTGTCATTTAGCTCTGACATCAAATATCTCGGAGTAAATTCATCCATGTCATTTGGATGATATGCTATTAAATCATATCCCTTAGCGAGCTTGTATTTTCCAGGTTTGAGATTATATCCGTTTTGGTGCTGAGCCATAAAGCTAAATAGGTTCGGGTCAGTATTTCCATCCTTGAACTTTCCAATAGCTTCTTTATATCTGTCACTAAAGTCAACAGTATCTGGGAAACCACACTCTTCTTTAAGCATTTTTAAGAATTCTTGGTTTCCTTGTTCTCTACTTCTTTTATGTCCTTGCTCTGTTTGTGGTTGCTGTGCTGGTTGTGGAGGTGGTTGTTGTGCAGGGTTTTGAACTGTTGGTTGTTGTGCTGGTTGTGGAGGTGGTTGTTGTGCTGGTTGTTGTGCATGCCTGTGTCTGTGTCCATGTGACGATGTAAATGTTCTAGGTAGTCCTGGTGCAGGTGCTTCTCTTGGAGGGTTTGGTGGTATATAAGTTCCACCAGCTGGCACATATGTTCCATCTGCAGCGTAATGTCCTACCTGACTTTTCGTTTTTAAGAAAGCATTTACTAGGTCTGTTTTGGTCTGTTGTAACTCTTTTTCTTGACTTTTCACAACAGTTGCTCTAACGGCGTCATAGGCACTTTGAACTGCCTGTCTCGTTGCTGCATCTGTTATTTTCGTCATATTTTGTGCTACTTCTTTTAACTCTTTGTCGAAACCTTCAGACTTCAGTTTCTTTCCAGATGAGAAGTCGTTCACTTGTTTCACCTTACTATGAAGAGCTTCGAAGGCGTTCTTAAAGTCAGCATTTGTTAAAGCTTCATTTGAACTATCTTCATCCGCTTGTATTTTTGTCCTTATTGACCCTATGAGTTGGGCTGCTTTAGCGTTGGCTTGGGCATCTAACCAGTCATTGTTAGCTTTTATATATTCTGCGCTTTTCATTGCCTTTTGCATGGCTGCGTCGTTATTTTTACTTTCTTGTGCTAAGTTTTCATACTGTACGGTTTGGTTTTGCAACTGTAAAAGTTTTTCTGCCTTTACATTTGCTTCAACTTCTTTTTTATACTCATCGCTATCCATATATGTCTTCAGGGCTTTTTGTTTTATCTCTTCATCTTTCAGTATTTTATATTGAGTAGTATGGTTTTTCAAATTTATAACATCTTGTTCCATTTTTGCTACTTCTGCTGCTTTTTCTGACACTTTTTTCGCATATTCCTCTGTACTTAGTTCTTTCAGTTGTTCTTCTTTCTTCTTTTTCTCTACGTTTAACTCATTGAGTTTCTTTGTGTGTCTGTCATATTCTAGTTTCTTTTCGTTTTCACTTATTTGCTTCTGTATGTCTATGTTTGACTTTTTGACATCTGTTATTTGATTTTTGAGTGAACTCAAATTCATTTGACTTTGAGGGTTATAGGCTGTTCCGTCTGCAGCTCCACCATAGCCTGCCATTTTCGCTAAAAGTGCCGCTCTTAAACCTCCACTCTGTGCACCAACAACTCGGTTTAAAAGCATAGGATTGCTTGACATTTGTTGCAACATAGTGGGGTCATTCATCATTTGTTGTTGCAACTGTTGTTGTGGTGTCAGTTTTACTTTTGGATGTTTCAATGCTCCCTTCCTCTTACGTATATTCTTACGTAGCTTACGTGGCATTTTAAGTGAAGTTAAAAAGCGGTTTTTGACAGATGTTTTATTGTGACTTCTTCGTAAAGACTTTGTTGAGACTTCTTCGTAAATGACCCAAAAATATATTTTAGGGTAGAAGGGTATATCTAACCTCTTTTCTAACCTCTTTTCTACCCTCTTGAATTTTCATGAATTTCTTCGTAAATGTTTTGTCAAGACTTCTTCGTAAAGACTTTGTTGAGACTTCTTCGTAAAGACTTTGTTGAGACTTCTTCGTAAATGACCCAAAAATATATTTTAGGTAGAAGGGTATATCTAACCTCTTTTCTAACCTCTTTTCTACCCTCTTGAATTTTCATGAATTTCTTCGTAAAGACTTTGTTAAGACTTCTTCGTAAAGACTTTGTTGAGACTTCTTCGTAAAGACTTTGTTGAGACTTCTTCGTAAAGACTTTGTCAAGACTTCATCGTAAAGACTTTGTTGAGATTTCTTCGTAAATGACCCTAGTAGTATATTTTGGTGTAAATTTCATGAAAATTCAAGAGGGTAGAAAAGAGGTTAGAAAAGAGGTTAGATATACCCTTCTACCCTAAAATATATTTTTGGTGTAAATTTCATGAAAATTCAAGAGGGTAGAAAAGAGGTTAGAAAAGAGGTTAGATATACCCTTCTACCCTAAAATATATTTTTGGTGTAAATTTCATGAAAATTCAAGAGGGTAGAAAAGAGGTTAGAAAAGAGGTTAGATATACCCTTCTACCCTAAAATATATTTTTGGTGTAAATTTCATGAAAATTCAAGAGGGTAGAAAAGAGGTTAGAAAAGAGGTTAGATATACCCTTCTACCCTAAAATATATTTTTGGTGTAAATTTCATGAAAATTCAAGAGGGTAGAAAAGAGGTTAGAAAAGAGGTTAGATATACCCTTCTACCCTAAAATATATTTTTGGTGTAAATTTCATGAAAATTCAAGAGGGTAGAAAAGAGGTTAGAAAAGAGGTTAGATATACCCTTCTACCCTAAAATATATTTTTGGTGTAAATTTCATGAAAATTCTGAGTAAAATGACAGATGTTTATATGACACTTTCTCCGGTTTATAGGACCTCTCTCATATTCTAAACATCTTCGGGGCTAGAGGGCACGAAGTGCCTGGAAGCCCCACTACCTTTTTTTTTTTTTTTTTTTTTTTTTAATTACATTTCTTAGTCATCAAAATAGTGGTCATGTTGTAAACGAAAACGATAAAAACGGCTTGACAGTAAAGTGACACTTTACATGGCAAAAAATAGAGCCTTACTTTTGAGATACTTGAGATTGAAACTGAATCTTATGAGGCGGTGATCTTGAATCACTACCTCATAAGGTTCAGTTTCATATAAAATTTGTTGCAATTTGTTATTCTTTTGCAATTATTTCTTATAAGATTTTACATCTTTTAGCGGGGAATGTTTGTTATCATGTATATATTATAAATATCTACACGATAACGAACATTCCTCGCTAAATTGCTGAGAAACTTTGAGGAAATGTCGAACAATTTCCTCAAAGTTTCTCAGATTTATATAGATCACTAGAGTCCCCTAGGCACTGATTCTGGTTCAGTACCTAGGAGGCTCTAGTTCTCTAACGAACTGATAAAATGTTTTTAAATTTTTGGATATTGCTACCTGTGAAGCACTGACTTCAAGTCAGTACCTCACAGGTAGCAATTACATTGAAAGATGGGAGAAAATTTGTCCGAATGTTAAACTATTCGGACAAAGTTTCTCCCATTTGTAGTGGAGATGGAAGGCTTTGAGGTATATTATATTAATATATACCCCAAAGCCTTCCATCTCCACTTGAAAGTTCCAAAACTTTGGGTTAATAGTTTGCAATTAACCCAAAGTTTTGGAACTTTCTAGAAGGAATTGCAGGGTAAGAGGTACATATTCATACTATGTACCTCTTACCCTCCAATTCCTTCTTAAAATGGGAGAAACTTTGTCCGAATGTTAAACTATTCGGACAAAGTTTCTCTCATTTGTAGTGGAGATGGAAGGCTTTGAGGTATATTATATTAATATATACCCCAAAGCCTTCCATCTCCACTTGAAAGTTCCAAAACTTTGGGTTAATAGTTTGCAATTAACCCAAAGTTTTGGAACTTTCTAGAAGGAATTGCAGGGTAAGAGGTACATATTCATACTATGTACCTCTTACCCTCCAATTCCTTCCTTAACATAAACAAATTTGGAGTTAATTGTTTGCAATTAACTCCGGGTTTGTTGACCTCCAAATGAAAATGAAAGGGTAAGAGGTATATAGTGACCCTATATGCCTCTTACCCTTTCATTCTCATTAATTATGGGAGAAACTTTGGCCGAATGTTAAATTATTCGACCAAAGTTTCTCCCATTTTTTGAAGGGATTGGAGGCTATGAGATACTGATGCAATGTCAGTACCTCATGGCCTCCAATTCCATCCTGAAACTGATCAAAGTGGACCTTACATGCATTTGAAATTTGCCATGTAAAGTCCACTTTTTGAGAGAGAGGATTTGACTGCGTCAAATTCTCTTTTTCGTTTACGAGAGTCATGTTACTATTCGTTAGGTTAAATTACTTTTAATGCCCATTCAAGGAAGTACATGTCAGTTACAGGGTT